ACACTTTTCCTCCAACACAGAACCGGAGCTAACGGTAGCAGCGACAAGGCTTTTCCCTAGTTATTTAAGCCACTGTCACTGCGATGCTTCGTCACGGCACCTCAGTTGCGCCATGACGTGTTTTGGATCTACCAGAACGTTTGAAAGTAGTGGCTTGAAAGGCTGCCAACTGACGGGATGACCCGATCTCCTTTTGGGGTGGAGATTCAGACTGCAATATCCTCTCCTGAATACGGCCTCTGTGGCCATCCTACTCAAAGCGGACCTGAGCCTTCCGCATCCTTTTTTTAAAGACGTAGTACCGTACGCGCGCGAACCAGGTTGGACGTGGTTCGTGTAGACGAGCTATTTGGGTTCATTATCTCCTGCGTCCCACTCGCCTCCGCATGTCTTAGCCTTTCCTGCTATCGGGCTTAATTAGGTGAGGGAGAAGAAAGACGCCTGATCGATACCTTTGCTCGTCACGATCACACTAACAGGTCATTATATTTGTGGGTATGCTTGTATCGGTTCGCTCACAGCTAGTGAAAAGATTCAGTGTACAACCGCTCTCATCTCTACTTACGGAAAACAATGTTCAAAATAAGTAAATTAAAGGTCCACACAGATGATTTGTTCCAAAAGACTGACTTTAAGTACATACATTAGCTTATAATTTGTAGCATACGATTTATATTTTTATTTCTCAAAATGAATTTTCACCTTTAACATTAATTCCTTTTTATTCGTACTGTCGTAGGCTCTTTCGTATACACGACAGTTCGACTGTCGTTTTCGACTATGTCTGATCTTCAGCATGCTCAAAGCAAACGCAACGACTCAAGCTCAATTCTAATAAAATAGAATTGCAGGATCTACCTCAATCTCTCACCGCGCCCACACCTGTATCTGGGGTCAAAGCAGAATTCGAGAAGACCCGAGATGGGAGAGGGCGCAGGCGCGGCCAACACTCCAATACGCTTTCGAATGGCACACCTTGCTAGGTAGGCTCCCACGTGCGCGGGAGTACCATGAAGACTAGATTGAGAAGGAGCCATTGCAGCCTGACTCCCAATCTGCCAGTCAGCCACTCCACACAACAAGACCCACTGGACTGAATGAGCTGTCCGGGTTATCTCGGCTATTGTAAATCCTCAAAGCCACGGCTTTTAGCGCACCGTGATAACTTCAAGCGCCCCAGATTGTTTATAGTGAGGAAAGAATTGCGCTGAGGGTCGACCTCACTGGAAGGATGGGCCTCAGGCAACGGTGGTCCAGTCTTCGCTCATCGTCCACGCACAAAGCTCAACATTCATATTCATAGAGGAGGACTGACTGGACGGATGCGCGGTACACACGGATCTTTGTGGTGATGAAGATGTCGCGTCGGATCCATAGGCACTTTCGGAGGATTGGGAAAACCCGGTTAGCAGCATCAACTCGGAAAACAGCGTCATCTTTACGCTATCCATTCGGTAGCAGCCTCACCCAAATGATTTTTCTACCTATTCAAACCTTAATTGTTATGTACAGCGTTAATTTCCCTTGCAAATGTTTGGTCTGATGAAGAGTTGCTGAAAACCATTGTTTGCCATAAACTTGAGTTGACTTGACTTCACCCAAATATATTTAAAGCTTTTTAATTGTTCAATGTGGCGGCAATTAATCCCCGAAGGTGCCTTCCCCTGGTCAGGTAGGCAGCTCGCCAATAACTTAGTCCTCTCGGTATTTATGGACAAGCCAACCGAAGCAGCGGTATTATTCACTCGTGACACTAAATACTGTAGATCGCGAAAGCTTGAAGTTAGTAAAGCGATATCCTCAGCGTAGTCGAGATCAGTCAGCCAGTGTCCGGGTGCAAGCTCAACACCGTCCTCTTCACGTAGAGACTTCCCAAGAATCTAATTAATTAATTATTAATGAATTATTATTATTAATGACGGAATTGAACGCGGCGGCAAAGTCTACAAAGCATAGGGTCGTCGGTTGCTGGTAGCCATGATGGAATTCCATAATGCGCTTCAGTGTAAATATCTGGTCCGTACATACACGCCCAGTGCGGTATCCGGCATGGTTGGGCTGCGTCCTAGAGTCACGCACAGACTGGAATCGCCTGAGAAGAACAATAGCGAAGATCCTCACAGCAACGTCGATAAGACTTATGCCACAGTAGTTCTCGCATCTTGTCTTATTTCCCTTCTTGTAGACAGGTACAAGGATGCCTGAACCCAGACATCGGGAACGGTTTCGAATCTCCACACTTGTCCAGGGAGCCAGAGTGTCAACACAGGATTTGTAGATTTCGGCGAGGATATCATCCTCACCGGACGCCTTGTTATTGCGCAGCCTCTGCATTGCATCAGCAACTTCGTCTTCGGAAGACAGGTCACACGACACTGCATAACCTAGAGGGGATTGAATCTCCGCTGTGGAGGAGAGGGTGTAATGGGTTGCTCATCAAAATTGAGGATACGGTCGAAATGTTCACGCCAGCGATCGACTTTGGCCGAGTTGTCAGCGATAAAGCCGCCATTAACATCGAGAAACGACTCACAGAGTGCCGAGAGCTTACCGCTAAATTGGCGGATAATTTGATACAATTTTCGAGTGTCACCAACATTTGACGCCTGCTTCATAGAAATCAGTGCTTCGGACCAATACTTCCGCCGGTCATCTATAGCCAACTTTGTCAGCTTTTGAAGTTAGCGACAGGAAGCATCTTTGTGGGACCTGGCTTGAGCCGTCTGGGTAGACAGCTGCGGGGTTCTTCCGATGATGAAGTCACTGCGACGCCGCTGGATGAACCTGATAAATTTCTCAACTGTCCCATAGACGCATGTCTTC